GTTAGTAAATGTTTCTGGTTCATGTCAGTGTTTAAGTTGTACTTGGAGAGTATTCTGTTTCAGTGTCAGAGTAAGTTGAAGCACTCTACAGTTAATTCTAAAATGGTTAATTCATCTGAAATGTTGTTCATTCGTTTATTTTTTATCTTAAAAGTATTTATCTACAAAATATTGTTGCTAACCGTTGTTTCTGTGCTTTGAATGTTATCAACCTGATAATCACTGAACTGACATGATAAAGGTTGTTGGAAAGTGAAGGAGTTGTCCCAAAGTGTCCCTTTGGAGTAAAACTAGTGTGGAGCTTGACAAGCGTCCAAGAGCAGTTCTCAGTAGAGCCGCTGGTCTTCCATGTGAACAGGAGCCGGCTGGGGTGTGTTGGACTTATGGAAATATGGTTAACAGAGATGTTTCAGACAGGTCGTTCCAGGAGGATGCACTAGAACATGGTGACTAGAACATGGTGACTAGAACATGGTGACTAGAACATGGTGACTAGAACATGGTGACTAGAACATGGTGACAGAAATGTCTCCAGGCTTACCTGAGAACACCTTAGCAGGGTGGAGGGAAGTAATCTTCCTTACTAGTGCTGTTGCACTGATGGCCAGGACCCAGATAAGTGGTGGATCACAAAAGAATAGAATAGAATAGAAATCATTCATTTGCTACTGCGGCACAAACACTTGGATAATGGGAAGAAGATGATTGATGATAAGATTGCAGGTAAACACACAAAGGCAGTAAGCCACCTTCAGCCACTAAAAACACTCAATAAAAAGGAAACTTGTGTTTCCAGAACTATGCAGCACAAGGGACACACACTCGTATTTGTTTGGCACTGAATGTTAACACGCGAGTGACCATCAGAGACTTGATGATCCTTTAGGTCTATATTTGACCACCTGTCTGAATAAGTGACCAGCATTGGCTAAATCAGCAGGGAGATTCATTTTTGTTGGCTGTACTCGATAAGGCTGTGATTGTTCAACACATGCCGTACTCCAACCAGCTCATTCTGCATAAAAATATATAATTAATCAGAAAAAATTACCTTTTCTAAATGAACTAGAATGTCCTGTGTGGCCACAGCAAATAAAGTGTTTTTTATGTCTCAGTAGCCACATTTCTGCTTTTAGTAGCAATGTCACTCCATCCTATTTTATCTAGCTTCAGTCAAGTTGTTTGTTTGCTAAACTGGTGCACTTATATTATTAAATTACATAGTCACTGATGGTTATGTGGACTATTGCAGCAAAGGCTACATTTCCTAATGTCCTGTCCATGTCCACCACATTTATGTTGTTGCTAAACCCGCCGAACAAAAAGGATTAGCAACCCATCTGGAGGTTGCTGTGCCAGGGGTCCGTCACACGGCCCGACTCGGACTCCACTTTTGTGAGGTGATGTGAAGCTGGAGGTGGACACTGACACCGTCTGCAAACGAAGGTCATTTATGAACTTGTCAGATGCGCAGATCCCTTCTCCTTCATCAGCATCTGTACCTTGAAGCCACCACAGCACACCGCCTGCTGCGAAGACGTTTAGCTGCTGTGGCGTGGTTTGGCAGCGGACCGACGCATCACGTACGGATATACTCAGAGTAAGACGAGAACGGGCCTTCTGGGTATGGCTATGTCTGTTTCACACAAACTCTCACAGCCATACCGTGACAACTTAACGGATGCATGATCACAAACCCCCTCGCTAACGGAGATTAATGTGTGACATTATCTCGCTGGTGCCTGGTCTACCTGACACTGCAAACATTCCCTTCCCGCTACCTCTCACTGGGAGAGTATCCGCTTTCAGATGTGGCTGGAGCAGTGAAAGTTCAGTCGACTAATTTATGAGAGAAAAGGATTTCATGGTTCTGCACTTGAGCTGACCTCATGTCAGCAAAAGAAGAATGAGAACCTAGAGAAACCCAAGGTCATTGTCCAACGCTGAGTGCCAGGACTTTTTATTGAGAGTGACTCATGATGGGAATTTAACAGCGAGTTCAGTGTGGATGGAACCAAGCTTGTACCGCATGCTGCTGTATGAAATGGAGCTGACGTGGATACGAGAGCTGTTTTCTTCTGTAAAAGTGAGAAGATGAACTCGTCTTTAGGAGATGGATCACTTTCTGGCATCGAGGTTGATGCCGCGGTCAGCACGTTGAACGTGTAATTGTTTGATAGCTGCAGTATGCTGCAGACGATCTATATCCATCTGAGACTCTAAGAAATGCCTCTGAAAGATCCACTTTCATTCAAGCGTCCCGGCACAGCGACAGCTTGTTTTATTTTTAAAGAGTATCCAGTGACAAAGGACACTTTACCCGCTCACTTAGATTACATGTGGACGAGTGCAAGCATCATTATGTTCTACGCATACATGCTTTTTAATAGGTTGAGGGGCAGACCAATCACACTTGTCAACCTGTTGCCGGGAGACCGGCGGTGTGGTTCCTAAACACAAGTCCACAACTTTTACATCATGGACTATATTTCTGAAAGTTAGAATATGAAAGAATATTGCATTACCTCAGAGAAGTGCTGAAGCAGGTCCCGGCAGCACCTGCTCTTTCGGTGTAAAACATCATCACCCTCGAGCGCCTGAACAGTACACACAACAAGATCACCGGCATCTAACAGTAATTCATTTACTGTTTATGAATTATTAGAATAAAGTTTTCATCTGACGCACGTTTATTCTAGAATTAAAAAATGCTTCTGTCACCAGATCTTCATCTGATTGATTGTGGGGTCATTTGATCTGGCTTCAGTTCACCCTTGCCTGCGTCTCGGCTCATTTCTCTGTTGTAAATGGGAAATTATTAGCACCGCACTTTGCTAACAGTGATGTTGACTCACATCAAAAGGCAGCAAAGACAGATTTAGTGCCGGATTAGCTGTGATTGATGTTTAGCGGTTCACTGGTTGATCCGCTTCTCAGATCTGCAACCTGTTGGTGGAGAGCTTTGATTGTGTTTACGAAAGGTGCTCGGCTGCAGTTGGCTCAGGGATTCTGTGTCCCTGAGAAAAGAGAGGAGCGATCCAGTAGAACTCGTCTGAACTCAAGCAGGTTTTAATCCACAGTTTCTGGTTTTCCTTTTGTTTCTGTAGTCTCCTGCTTTTCCAGTTTACGTTTGAGGAGAAAACTGATTCATTTTGGGAAGTCTGCAGATAGTTTTGCAACAAACAGTGTCCCATTTATTTCATCCACTGTTTAATGAAAACGTGTTCACGGCCTTGCAGAGTTTTTCCTGTTTGAGCTTTTCTGTCTCAGTTAAAGGTTTCAGATCAGTCACATTTCTGCATCAGAGCTAATCTCACCAGATCAGTTCAGTTCAGTTCACTTTATTTCAAACACATACATTCACCAACATTTCATAAAATCATTCCACGCAATTGTTTGAAAAGGAGTAGGGAGAAGTGTATACTTATTTAGCCCTACCCCCTCAGGTTTACATCCTCATCATAAAAATTTAAACAACAAAACAGTTACAATGCCTTCAAAAAAAAAACCACAAAAAAAATAACAATAATAATAATAAATTAATTAAATTCTCATGTTCAACTAGAACTATATTTAGATTTTCTAATTTGTAGAAGAGATTAAACATCAGTTTGCATGCCGTCCTGGGTTAATTTCATTTTCTTCAGTCTTATACTTATTTAACATTTCTTTTTTTTTTAGTTTTATTTTAAACTGGTTTACATTACTACTATCCTTTATTTCTTCTGTTAACTCATTCCAGAATTTAACGCCCGCTATTGAAATAGACATCCTTTTCAATGTTGTTCTTACTCTTTGTACTTTTAAATTCCACTTCCCTCTAAAATTATACCTCCCTTCTCTTTCTAAGAACCATTTACTTATTTCAATTGGGAGCATCCCTTTCCTTACCTTATATATTAATTGCACAGTTTTAAACTTGACCAGGTCCTGGAATTTTAAAGCTTGCGTCTTAATAAAGAGTGCGTTTGTGTGAGCCCTATACCCCTCCTGATTTATTAGTGTAACAGCCCTTTTCTGCATTATGATTATAGTCACCAGATCCATGAGTGTCCTTAAACCATAGATTTCTTAACAAGGAGAGAAAATATGACTAAATCAACATGCTCCTATTTGAAATAATCACTGTCTAAAATCAACAAGTAGATGTGAAAGAATGGCTGACTAGAACTGCAACTGAGCTGCGGTGATAACTGGTAATGAGTCGCTCTCATAGCTGTGGAGAAATGTTTGTCCCACTTTTCTCTACAGAGTTATTGGAGGGTTTTCCAGCATAAACGGCTTGTTGATGTAAAAGAGAGCAGAACTCACGGTTCCATCTGAACAACAAGTGGTCCGGGTTCTGCAACAGCAAAGCTGGCCCAGACCATCACACTACCACCACCACGTTTGACTGTAGGTGTGATGGGGGGTTTTTGTGTGTTTTTTAATGCAGCGCTAGATTTATACCAGATGTGACAGGACACACACGTGTGCCTGATCACTCCACAGAATACTTTCCTAAAAGTCTGGGGGTTGTCGATATTGTTTCATTTGACTAATGTTAAACGGGTCTGTGTGTTCGTTTTAGCCCAACGAGGATTTGGTGTTGGAGGTCTCCCAGAGGGGCATTTAGTTATCGATAGCCACGAACTGTGAAAATAACCTTTAGCTGCATTGCTTTAGATGTTGTTCGGGGTTCTTTTATTAGCCTTTTCATCGTGTTGTCAGACAGTTTCCATTAAAATGATTTTTTACATCTAAAGCACCGGCTGTAATCAGGCCTGGATTTACCTGAAATCACCTGCTTCAGTTTAGCAGCCCTAGTAAAGAAGCCCAGACCCTCCTCTCCTCAGCCACCACCAGCTCCTGCTGAGCCAGCCAAAAGTCAGCCTGTCCACCGTGTATAGTTTTATAGAGCGTTTAGTCATGACAGCTCTGAGGGGGTGAGTGTTTCTGTAAAGCATCTGTTTGGATGTAATTAAAGGTGCAACAACTTCTCTGTAAATACGGTCACAAAA